AAGAAAGAAAGGAAGAGAAATAAAGTAGAAGGAAGCATGTGCATGCTAAAGAGAAACATGGAAGATATTTTGTAAGTCCAAAATAAAACTTCTAGAGGCAAAAAAAGAAAGCAGTTAAAATACATTGAATGAGATTTATAGCAGATTAGATACTGCAGATCAGTTAACCTGAAAACATAGCAATAGAAACTGTCCAAAATGAAACACAGAGTAAAAAGGCTGGAAAAATAATGGCCACTAGCATAGTTGGAACCCACAAAGATGGACTGAAATCTGTGTCAGTTCTCATTGCCTCCAACCTTGATGGCATATGCATCCTGCAGATGCCTTGAACATTATCAACCACTTGACCTAACTGACATTTATAGAACTCTATAACCAATGTCAGGAAGAGATACTATTTTCTATACATAGAATATTCACTAAGATAGAGTATATTATTCTGGGGTTTAAAACAAGTCACAATAAATGTAAAAGGATTCATATAAAAAAATGTGTTCTCAGCCAGGCCTGGAGGCTCATGCCTGTAATCCAAGCACTTTGGAGGCCAAGGCAGGAGGATCACCTGAGGTCGGGAATTCAAGACCAGCCTGACCAACATGGTGAAACCCCGTCTTTATTAAAAAAATTTTTTTAATAAAAGAAGAAAATAGTTTTATTTTTTAATTTTTTAAAATATAAAAAATAAGAAAAAAATGTGTTCTCTGAGCACAAATAAGATTTTTTTTTTTTTAGACAGCGTTTTGCTCTGTCACCAGGCGCCAGACTGGAATGCAGTGGTGTGATTTTGGCTCACTGCAACCTCCGCCTCCTAGGTTCAAGCAATTTTCCTGCCTCAGCCTCCCAAGTTGCTGGGACTACAGGCGTGTGCCACCACAACCAGCTAATTTTTGTATTTTTAAAGTAGAGGTGGGGTTTCACTATGTTGGCCAGGATGGTCTCAATGTCTTGACCTCGTGATCCACCCACTTTGGCCTCCCAAAGTGCTGAGATTACAGGTGTGAGCCACTGCGCCTGGCAGATTTTTTTTTTTTTTTTTTTTAAAGACAGTGTCTTGCTCTGTCTCCCAGGCTGGAATGCAATGCAGTGGTGTGATCTCAGCTCGCTACAACCTCCACCTGCCAGGTTCAAGCGATTTTCGTGCTTCAGGTTCTCAAGTAGCTGAGATTATAGGTGCATGCCACCACACCTGGGTAATTTTTTTACCTGGGTAAAAATTTTTTTTAAGACGGGGTTTCACCATGTTGGTCAGGCTGGTCTTGAACTCCCAACCTCAGGTGATCCGCCTGCCTTGGCCTCCAAAGTGCTTGGATTACAGGAGTGAGCCACCATGCCCGGCCGACCTGGGTAAATTTTTTACTAAAGTAGAGACAGGGCTTCGCCATGTTGGCCAGGTTGGTCTTGAACTCCTGACCTCAAGTGATTCACACGCCTTAGGATCCCAAAGTGCTGGAATTACAGGTGTGAGCCACCGTGCCGGGCCCATCATATCCGCTTTGTTCTTTGTTCTGCCGACCTTTGAGTTTGGAAGTGTGTGAAGGAACTCAGTAGAAGACTTCATCCGGTCAGACTGACATCTGCAGATTCAACCACCTGCAGACTTTTTATTCTTAAGGTTTTTCAAAGATACCCAGTATAGTTTCTTGTACATAGCAGGTGTTTAACAAATTATTTTTGAAGAGATGGATGAATTTCAGTGGCAAGTCTTTTTTAAAAACCAGGTGGATAAAATGGCTACAGCAGAGGTGAGTTTGAAGGGTCTGTTGTCATTTAGTGAGGGCAAGCTGAGAATGAAGTAGGTAAGATAAATGGGGTGTGACTGTATCCCCCAGTTGCTTGGGGACTGATAAAGATTCTATCTGGGCCTGAAATTTCCTGTCTGTCCCAATGTCAGCTCTGAAAACTAGTCATGGGAGTAGATTCACCCAGATGTGCTGAATGTTCAGTAATCTGGACTATTTCAGATCAGGCCCAGTGATCAAGGTTTGGTGCAAAGAACACGTTCTCTCTCAAACAGAGAGCTGAAAAGGCCCTTTAATATCTTTGAATTAACATGTTACCAAAGAAGAGCTAATCAGAATCCTTTAATTGGCCTAATCTATCTACTGTGAGAGAAAACCCCTCTCCTTTTTCATTGCAGTATTTTGTCTGAGATAATGTCAGCCTGGGGCTGCTGGCTAGAATCTTTTCTACAGTGAAGAGAAACCAAGTGAACGAGAGAGTACTGAGTAAGACAGATGCCTAGTACGTAGTAGGCACTTAGAAAATGCTAGATTTCTTTTACCATAAGCCTTTTAAATTCAGGGCTCAGTCAAAAAGCTTACTGTTGTTGGTCAGGCATGGTGGCTCACACCTGTAATCCCAATACTTTGGGAGGCTGAGGTGGGCGAGTCGCCTGAGGCCAGGAGTTCAAAACCAGCCTGGCAAACATGGTGAAACCCTGTCTCTACTAAAGATACAAAAATTAGCCAGGCGTGGTGGCACATGCCTGTAGTCCCAGCCACTCAAGAGGCTGAAGCACTAGAATTACTTCAACCCGGGAAGCAAAGATTGTAGTGAGCTGAGATTGTGCCACTGCACTCCAGCCTGGGCAACAGCCTGGGGAGCAAGACTCTGTCTCAAAAACAAAACAAAACAAACTTATTTTTCTTGGTCTTTAGCTTTGTGGATGACAAATGGTTCTTTTTGAACCTCTGTTCTACCTATAGCCTCTGTTTTTAATTTTCCCCAGTGAGGGAACAAATCTCAGAGGATCCAAGGAAGTGTTAGCAGAGCAAATCTAGCAGAGAAATTATATAGTACTGAAGACACAGAGATAAACAAGGTAGACATAGTTCCTGTCCTCAAGGAGTTAGTACTTTTTTTTTTTTTTTTTGAGACTGAGTCTCACTCTGTCTCCCAGGCTGGCAAAATCTCAGCTCACTGCAACCTTCACTTCCCGAGTTCAAGTGATTCTCCTGCCTTAGCCTCCTGAGTAGCTGGGATTACAGGCGCCTGCCACTTCACCCAGCTAATTTTTTGTATTTTTAGTAGAGACGGGTTTTCGCCATGTTGGCCAGGTTGGTCTTGAACTCCTGACCTCAGGTGAACTACCCGCCTCAGCCTCCCAAAGTGCTGGGATTATAGGTGTGAGCCACCACACCCAGCCAGAGTTGGTACTTTTAAGGGGGAGATAGACAATAACAACACAATATACAAAATGCGGTGATTGAATTGTGTACTGTAGTCTATGGGTGGGGCGGGTGAAATCATGGAGAGATGCAGGGCAGGGGAATGAAACCTTGGTCTGCCTAATTGCATGCTCCATCCACAGCACTAGCAAAGGTAAGTTCTCCAGGCAGCTGATGATTTGGTGCCACATGTAAGTGCCCAGCTTCTGTTCTGCATTATAGACTGCTGCAGTGTTGACTCCTGCTAATCAGGACCTCTGAACTTTTTCTACAAATATTGTCTTTTCTGAAAACAGAGCTGGGAGACCTGTATAGCCCAAAGGCAGCTATAGCTCCCAGGGAGGAGAAGAGGACCAAAAAAACTGTTGGTGGGGCAGGGAGGGGAACCAGGCAGGAGACAGCAGTGGCTGGAGAACAGGTATGGGCAAACTAGAAGAAATGCAGACACTTGTACAACAGCTCCAGTGGCCCTATCCATTCATTTATCCTCTCAGAAAGCCTGATTCCTCAGCCCTGTAGGGGAGAATCTTCACTGTCTTCACAAAGGAGATAAGAAGAAGCCATGTGTGGCTTTGCCCTATCCATGAGAAGCTTTATCCATAAACATCTGAGAAAACGCTCAATATCACTAGTGATTTAAAAAAATGTATATCAGAGGACTCAAGATGGCGGCTGTGGTGCTGGCGGCGACGCGGTTGCCGCGGGGCTCGGGTTCTTGGGGCCGCTCGAGGTTGAGGTTTGGGCCTCCTGCGCACAGACGGTTTAGTAGTGGTGGTGCCTATTCCAACATCCCCCTCTCTTCTCCCTTACCTGGAGTACCCAAGCCTGTTTTTGCTACAGTTGATGGACAGGAAAAGTTTGAAACCAAAGTCACCACATTGGACAATGGGCTTCGCGTGGCATCTCAAAATAAGTTTGGACAGTTTTGTACAGTAGGAAGTAAGTACTGTTGTGGTGCTGTGGGTGCCCTGCTGTTTGAACATGCACAAGCTTTAGTGGACTGTCGGTTAGCATGTCAATTGCGAACTGTATCCTGAGTGGAAACAGTGTATGATTTCATAAATGTTGACCTACACATACACCTGTGAAACCGTCAGCAGCACAGTCATACTCATGTAATTAAATCTGATCATATATTGAAATTTTAAAATGTTTCTCTTGATAAATCTTATTTTGAATATCTGACTTAACCTGTTAATTTTCTTTTTACTACTAGTTCTTATTAATTCAGGATCAAGATATGAAGCAAAATATCTTAGTGGAATTGCTCACTTTTTGGAAAAATTGGCATTTTCGGTCAGTGTCCAGTTTTGTAATTTTCTAGACTATACTTTTGAAGGATGTTTGAAGTTTTTCTTTTTTTAATGGTAATTTTAATAAACTATTAAGTTGCTAAATTAATGCTAATAAAAGGCTTAAGTTAAAAAAAATGTATATCAGAAAAACCATGAGATACCACTTTCTCCCCTTCAAATTAGCAAAATATCAGATCCTCCATATCCTCAGGGTTAGAAAGATGCAGGCAAGCAGGAACTTCCAGATACTGCAGGTAAAAATGTAGATTGGGGCTGGGCACAATGGCTCTCATCTGTAATCACTAGCACTTTGGGAGGCTGAGGTGGGAGGATCACTTGAGGCCAGGAGTTCCAGACCAGCCTGGCCAACACGGCGAAATACCGTCTCTCCTAAAAATGTAAAAAATTAGCTGGGTGTGGGGGTGCACACCTGTAATCCCAGCTACTTGGGGGAGGCTGAGGCATAAGAATCACTTGAAACTAGAAGGCAGAGATGTAAGAATCACTTGAACCTGGGAGGCAGAGGTTATAGTGAGCCAAGATCATGCGGCTGTACTCTAGCCTGGGCATTAGAGTGAGACTCCGTCTCAAAAAAAAAAAGTGGATTGGAAAGCAATTGGCCTTAAAATGCTCATATCATTTGACTTAATGATTTCACTTAATCTGTCAATTGTGAGAAGGGAAATTGACACATGGAAGCTATAGTAGACATCTTTTTGTGTATCTTCCCAGCTCACAAATGATTTACACTTCTTTGAGACTAGTGAGACTAATTCATGTCACCAGCTTTCTTATTCTAGCCTCAGAAGCAGAACCTTGATTCACTGACCACTGTTGATTGGACTGGGGTAGACACCTGACCAAACTAGGTCAATTTTGTTGTCTTTTCACCTAGGAATTTTGGTTTAGTTTGGACTGATATCTTGAATGGAAGGAGTGTAAAAATTCAGGAACTGTATCAGGGCTATTGTCCTCCAGATAGACTAAAAAACAGAAAGCCAGTCTGCAAAGAGAGGAGAATGGGGGCAGAGATGTGGAGAGAAACAGAGATAAGAGATAGAGACAACATAGTCTCTGGAGCATTTCACCTACATTCTAGCCACTTTCTGTATTCCTACTTCTGCACTCTATAAAACACTTCAGTATTCTTATAGCAGCTTTTATTTTTTTTCCTTAAGCTAACTTGGGTGTTTCGATTATTTGCATCCAAAAGTTTATCATACTTTACTGATAATAGCAGGAATATTGAGTAAATACTTATACATTATTTGCACAGTACATTGTCAAACTGCCATTTAAAATGTTTTAGGGAACTTATTAATGACATGTAAAATGTTTGACACATGAAGAGTAAAAGCATTGAGATACACAATTTTGTGTGCATAGAAAAAAGTTTGCAGACACACAAAATTTCTAGTAATAATTACCCTGGGGTGAATTGTCATTTATTACTTCATATGCCTTGGGTTTATTTGAATTTATACATGGAACACTGCTAAAATTTAATTAAGATTACATTAAAAAAATTTTCTTTTTCTTTTTCTTTTTTTGAGATGGAGTCTCCCTCTGTCACCCAGGCTGGTGTGAGCTGCGATCTCAGCTCACTGCAACCTCTGCCTCCTGGATTCAAGGGATTCTTCTGCCTCAGCCTCATGAGTAGCTGGGACTACAGGTGTGCACCACCACGCCTGGCTAATTTTTGTATTTTTAGTAGAGATGGGGGCTTCACCGGGCGTGGTGGCGCACACCTGTAATCCAAGCACTTTGGAGGCCAAGGCAGGTGGATCACCTGAGGTCGGGAGTTCAAGACTAGCCTGACCAACATGGTGAAACCCCACCTTAAAAAAAAAAAAAGTTTAAAGAGATGGGGCTTCACCATGTTGACCAGGTTGGTCTTGAACTCCTAACCTCATGATCTGCCTGCCTCAGCCTCTCAAAGTGCTGGGATTACAGGTGTGAGCCACCATGCCTGGCCAAAAGCATTTTCTATGTTGCTATATCCTTTTTATTTGGTATCATTTTAATGATTGCATAATTTTGCATTGTAACAGGATATCATAATTTATTAAGCCAGTACTTAACTGTTAGTTTTTTTTTTTTTTTTTTTTGAGACGGACTTTCACTCATGCTACCCAGGCTGGAGTGCAATGGCGCGATCTTGGCTCACCGCAACCTCCGCCTCCTGGGTTCAGGCAATTCTCCTGCCTCAGCCTCCTGAGTAGCTGGGACTACAGGTGTGTACCACCACGCTTGGCTAATTTTTGTATTTTTAGTAGACGGGGTTTCACCATCTTGACCAGGATGGTCTCGATCTCTTGACCTCGTGATCCACCCGCCTCGGCCTCCCAAAGTGCTGGGATTACAGGCTTGAGCCACCGCGCCCGGCCAACTATTAGTTTTAAAATAATTTTTACTATTTTAAGCAATGCTGTGAAAAACATCTTTAATGCATAAGGCTTTTTTTCCACAATTTGGATTATTTGCTTAGGATCTTTTTTCAGTGGTGGAATCATGGGGATGGAACATTTCTATGGTTCATGAATAACTCTGGCCACAATGTTTACTCTAAAGGCTGTGCCTATTTCCTTTGCCATCTGAAACACAGCTGAGCACCCAGGACTAACACATTACCTCAGTAGCCAGCCTATTTGCTAATCTATTAAGTTTTTAAAAATGACACACCTCCTTGTTTTGATTTACATTTTTTTTTTGTCACTAGTAAGTTAGAACATTTTTCATGTTTGTTAACTCCTTTATTTATTTATTTATTGAGACAGAGTCTTGCTCTGTCACTCAGGCTGGGTTGCAGTGGTGTGATCTCAGCTCACTGCAACCTCTGCCTCCCAGGTTCAAGCAATTCTGGTGCCTAAGCCTCCCAAGCAGCTGGGACTACAGGTGAGCGCTGCCACGCTTGGCTAATTTTTTGTATTTTTAGTAGAGATCAGGTTTTGCCATGCTGGCCAGGCTGGTCTTGAACTCCTGGCCTCAAGTGATCCACCAGCCTTGGCCTCCCAAAGTGCTGGTATTACAGGCATGAGCCAATGTGCCTGGCCCCTCTAAGTGTCTTTTGATGGGAAGAAAATTAACTCCTATATGTGTAAGCCATGTTAATTACTTGGAGCTGAACACATCCCTAATTGATATAGATAATTTCTTGGAAAAATTCTAAGGTAACTCAGATTATACAAACCGAATCCCATTACTGTCCTTTGCATATTGGATTCATTTTCTTTTCTTGCACTCATCTGTCTTTTTTACTAAAATACAAAAATTAGTCAGGCATGGTGGTATGCACCTGTAATCTCAGTTACTATGGAGGCTGAGGCAGGAGAATTGCTTGAACCCAGGAGACAGAGGTTGCAGTGAGCCAAGATTATGCCACTGCATTCCATCCTGGGTGACAGAGTGAGACTCAAAAAAAAAAAAAAAAGATGCTTAGAGGTATGTATTCCAGGGTTAGAGCAGTTGCTCCAGATTACAAGATGTCATAAAAAACCCAGGCTCTTCTGTTTGCCTGCTCCACTATCCCTAGTGTGAGACAAGATAGTGACTGTACATCCCAAGCAGTCTGCTTTCTTAGCAAGAAGACAGGGAAAAGATGAGGGACAAAGGACTGAAAGAACAAGCATACCAGGCATGTACCTCTGGAAGCCTAACTCTGAAACTTTCTTTTATTCTCTCATTGGCTAGAACTGGGTCATATGGTCACCCCTAAGTGCAGATTATTCCAACCTGGACTCTAGAAAGGTAAATAATTTAGCTGCTACATACACTGCTGCCCAATACTAAATTGGGCTTCTCTTAGTATGGAAGACAAGGAGTAGTTATTGGAGAAACAACTTGCAGGGTGTTCCCTGTTCACTTTTGCTTCTCTGGTTAGGTTAGGTTTTGATCACTTGCAATCAAAAAGTTTTGACTACTACAGTCCTCCTCATCTCCTTCCTGGATTACGTCATTGGATTCCCCACTAGCCCATCTACCACCAATTTCCACCTTGCTTAGAATGATTATACAAGTGCAACCAGCCTTCTCAAAGGATGTCTCTGAGCCTGGCTACTCCATTACCTGATATGGAGGTTGGCAAATGTTTTCTGTAAACAGCCAGACAGTAAATATTTTGGGCTTCTATTTTTCTTTATTTCTTTTTTCTTTTTTTTTTGGCGGGGAGGGGACGGAGTTTCGCTCTTGTTACCCAGACTGGAGTGCAATGGCGCAATCTCGGCTCACCGCAACCTCTGCCTCCTGGGTTCAGGCAATTCTCCTGCCTCAGCCTCCTGAGTAGCTGGGATTACAGGCAC